CCGAGCCGCGCGTGGGAATCGCCGCATGTTTTCGCAGTGGGTCATCGTCACCAGGCTCATGCTCCAGAGAGGGGAGTGGAGGCAGGGATAATTAGATAAATAATTAGCCCCAGCGCTAATTATTTGAGTCTAATGAGGGAGGTTCGGTTCGGTCAGAAAAGCAGCCAGAGGCAGCAGCCGGCAGAAATGAGCAGGCAGCGATGGGGGTCCTGGGCTCCGGATGGCCCTGGGCGTGTAGAGGGGCTTTAGGGGTGTCTTTGGGGACGCTGGGGATTTGGGGACAACTGAGGACATCAGGGATGCCGGGACTGTGGAGATAGCAGGGGGGTGGAGACACAGGGGACATGTGGACATGGAGGCTGCAGGGACACCAGGATGAGGGGACCTTGGGGATGCAGGTAGCAGGCATGCAGGGACACCAGGGATTTGGGGACGTGGGTGATTTGGGGATGCGGGGACACTGGAGACCTCTGACGGTGCCACGGGCCATCTCCCCGCACCTCTCCCAGCCGTGTTGGGGCTGGGTGCTCACGCAAGGACCAGGGCTCCCCGGTCACCTTGGCACCCATGGGTTCTGCCAGGCCCTGGGGACATCGTACGGCAGTGGGCATCGCCCCGTGGGGCAGGGGCCTGGTGCACTCGTGACACAGATGGCCCCACAGGCTGCTGTGTGGGGTGGCATCACGCCAGGGTGCTGGGGACACCTTCCTGCCACCGCCACGGCTCCTGCGCTGCCATAGCCCTGCCCTGTCTGTGTCCCCTCCTGTCCCCAGCCCTGCCTGCGTGGCCCCCCCCTCGTTGCCCCCCCCCCGCCCCGTCCCCAGGGCTGGCACCGCACCCAGAGCAGCGAGACGCAGGACTCGGCACCGGCCCTTTATTCGCCAGGGCCTGGGTGCGGGATGGGAGAGACGCAAGGGCACGGGGGTGGCGCGGGCGCGGCGTGGGCCTGGCGTGGGCACAGAGGCAGCGTGGGCACAGGGTGGGCCTGGCGTGGGCAAGAAGATAGATGGGGACAGCATGGGCATGGCGCGGGCACAGAGATGATGGGGCACAGAGGCGGCACAGCGTGGGCACGGGCGTGGGCACGGGTGGGGGTAGCGTGGGCGTGAACGGAAGGGTGGTGAGGGCATGAAGATGGCAGAGGTACGGCAGCAGCGAGGGTGGGGAGACAGTGTTGGCACAGAGTTAGTGTGGGCACGGCACGGGCTTGGGGGTGGCAAGGGGCTGGGAATGCCCACGGGGTGGGCAAAGGCATGGAGATGGCATGGAGATGGGGTTGGCACAGGGACGGCATGGGGGTGGCACGGGGATGGGGATGGCGTGGGGGTGGCATGGGGATGGGGATGGCACAGGGTCGGCATAGGGATGGCATGGGGATGGGGATGGCACAGGGACGGCATGGGGATGGCACGGGGATGGGGTTGGGGTG